GAACGAACGAACGGCGCGCATGCCCTAGCCAAACGTAACGAACAAAAACGGTACTCGCACATCGAAAAACAGCGTGCATCCCGCAGCGGAAAGGTATGCCGCTCACCACATTTTTAGAACGGTGCAGCGTTTTTACGGCCGCACTGTGTGGATCCAGGGACAATTGCAGCACGACTGATTATCAAATAACTCTCGACACCGACGTACGCACTAGTTTTAGGGAAAGATGACGTGATGGTGCCGTGTTCTTTGATGTTGAAAAACCTATGAGATTATGTGGCGATACGATATCATGAGGAAGCTTTTTGATTACGGCGTTCGTGGAGCCATGGGCACGTTCGAATGGCGATCTTTGAGGCCAATCAGTTTTTCAGAATTCGTGTTGGCTCGCACTTTTCAGACAAGAACCAACAAACTGTGTGCGCTAGGGCAGTGTTTTAAGCGTGGCTTTGTTCTCTGTTATGACAAATTATTTTGGGGACTCGGTTCCAAAATCGACAAGTTTCTCCCACTCTCTTCTTGGATGATGTCGCCACCTGATACTCCTCGTCAAACTTTGCCTCTTCGGAGCGTCGATTGCAGTTTGTCGTGGTCCGCCCGGAAAGATGCAGTATCCTTAACGCATTCCGTTGCTAAGCACCTGACTAATAAATTCAGGTCAAGTTTCTGCATGGCTTTGGAGATACGTGCTCGCACCTAACGATGCGTACTACATGACGTTTTTAAAACGTATACAAATGTGCATCCGCGAGGTAATAGGGTCACTTCGTTTGAATGACAAATTTCATGATGTACCTATTTAATTGTTAAGGATATATGTGCGCATGGGAATGATTGGCGGTATTTGACCCTCATTTTGGCTCCGATGTCGAACCTGTCATTGGGGCTCTGAGACGCGCTCAGCAGCTCAGATTATATGAGATCGCCAGCCTGTCATCCCAGTAAGAAGGGCGGCTACTGCGGGCCCATATTAACGTAGAGATACTGACCGTACTCACTGATATTTAACCTCACAACAGAAACACTCCTTGAGAATAACATGTTTTTTAGCCATATTCATGTTTGTTTGGATTAATTATATATGCTACCGTTTATGGTGGCTGTTGCCTGGTTGGCCCGTTGCATTTATTCGCAGTTAAGTTAATTATCATCGGGACAAATTCCCTGTCATAAGCTGACTAACTGGGAACGTCTGCAAATGGTGACGAAAACATCGGCTCACCGGTAGTATACGAACTTTTACGAAAAAGATGGTTTCGTCCCAGCATGTTGGGCAGCAAACGTCATTGAACTGGAATTCCGCAACGGGTATCCACGCATTTACACTGCCTAGCTTTGGTTCAGATGATGTACTAAGCTACGCTTGCTCCCTGTATTCCGAGCCCACCGCTACCATTGCAATTTCAACCCATCAATAAACATCACGCCTCCAGTGCTTGGCATGGAGGTCAGCAGAGAGAGCTGCGTGGTGCTAGATAACGTGTTGAAACGGCCACACCGGGCTAAGTTTCACCTACCGTGTCCATTGTCAGGCGGCGACACATTTGTAAAGGTCAAACCAAACACGTCACGTTCTTTTTCTGAAACTCGAACCAATTGCAGCCATATTGCGGTAGATCATGGTTTGGTCGGTGACATTTTATTAAGATCTGCTGCATACTATGTCACCGGCATTCTGTTATCGCGCGCATTTAGATGTACTGACTTTGGGCGTGACCAGAGCATGTCAGCACATTTGTCTACCACGCCTGTCATGGCATCAACATGTCTGTTGCACTTGACGAGGCAGGGATGGAGGAGAACACTTTTTTTGGAAATTAGTCATTCTTTTCCACTGGTGGTAAGACTGGCCGGCTGTGTGACCACGTCTCACGCCGTGGGATCATCGGCTGGTCAAACTGATCAGTTGTCACTAGGCCATCAGATTCAGGTCCACAGGACCGCGGACATGCCTTCTCGTGGCCGAACCGTAGTGGTACACAGACACTGCCGGTCCCGCCGGTCCGAACTCAGCGTCCAGCGACGCTGCGGTACCGGGTGGAACAGAGTCGCCACCGTCGACAGAGCAAACGGAGGCATCCGTCAGCGCGCAGCGCCAGTTTCATGACTTCGCCCGATGTTCGGTGCACCGCATCGGGTTTGGTCCGGATCGGACGATGTGGTCGGAAGGTGTCGACCGTTTGGGACGCCGGGGCTCCTCGGGCTCAACAAGCCAGCAGTCTACGTTTTGCGGCACTTCCAGGCCGCAGAGAGCGCCACCCGCATCGGCGTCCAATAGACAGAAATGGCTCGCTGACGCTCTTCAACCCTGCAGGGCAGAGGGCGTATGGTGTCTGGCCGATCAGCCGTAACGGCTAGAACCGCTCATTTACAGTGCTCATGAGGCCTGCCATGGCGACGGCGGTTGATAGTCGAGTGTTCCGTCTCAGAAGTAGACTTCAGCGTGCCTACGCCGCAACTTTTGCACCAATTGGCGAAAATTGTGCCGCTAGTTCGAGATAGTGTGTACTGAATGTGATGATCTTGTCGCTGATGAGTACAGAAACAACTAAAGGCGGTTTCGCATCTTTTTCTAGGGTTGCACAACCCTTTAGGCTTCCGATCTACCTCCAGTCATGATACACACACACATATACACACGCGCGCACGCATGCACGTACGCACACACACGCACGTACGCACGCACGCACGCACGCACGCCTGCACAAATGTATATGTATATATATATATATATATATATATATATATATATATATATACATATATATATATATATACGGTGGAACCTTGCTTTGTACATCATAGATGACGAATGAACTTGTTCTTGGAAATACGCACGACCACGGTGGAACCTTGCTTTGTACATCATAGATGACGAATGAACTTGTTCTTGGAAATACGCACGACCACGGTGTGTCAGATCACAAGACCCACGTATGGTCTGTACAGCACTGTGCCAGTGGTCACTTTAATCGCATGTCTATCGCAACAAAAAAATGTGTCCAAGTTTGCAAATAAAGTCAGGTTGTTTTCATTAAGATTCTAGCTCTCATTTGGATTCCTGACTTCCATGATCGGTGATAACTGTCACATGTCTCCGGCCCACCCGGCTCTAGTTTTCAGCTAACACGTGTGGGAACGGTACTCGGTGTATGGTTTTCCTTGCGGTCTGCACTCTTATTGCTTTGATTTTACTGATGCGGTTAACCGATTAAACCTGCTGTCCATTTCGGATCAGTGAGTAGTCCGGAACCCACCCGTAGTGTAGTAAGCAGTAGTTTTAGAGCGTTTGCACCAAGCCTGTGGTGTATTTTCCGGTGGTCACGCTAAATTACCTAATATTTTGATACACGCCATATTTATTCCGGTAGACAACAAAATGCCACCGGGGGGAAAACCTGAAAAGCAAACGAATGAGACAGTCTTCCCGCTTAGCTACTAGGTGCCCGAATTACCAAACATAAACATGTTAGGCCGCTATAGATGCACACCGGGGTGGCAAGCAAGGCGCTACAATAACAGCGCAACAGGTCGGTGGCAGCATGGCCGTAAGAGTTCTGGAAGCTAAGTTGAAGATCAGGAGGCAGAGACGCTGAGCGAGGTGCGCAAATTGCACGTAGTAAAACGAAAGCAAGTGTTTTGAAGTGTGCGACTCTGGTCAGATTACTACCACCGGATCCCCTCAAACTAAGTGCTTGGGGTTTGACATAAAAGACGTTCCTGCCTATAACAGCCAATGGTGGTAAGGAACAGTAAGTAGGGATAATGTATTACATAGTGACTACTGGCTCATCAAAAACAAACCTGCACAGAATATTTGGATGTAGTTACAAAAGGTAAATTAGTGGGGATGGGCTGAACAGTGAGACATAATCTCAATTACCCCAACATTGCAAAAACAATTAGGTTTTCCCGCGGATTTAGCCCATTTTCTTCACAAAGTTAATGGGGGGAGGCAACGGGCAAGCCCCAGGGGGAGACATCGGGCAAACCTCAGGGGGGGGGGGGGAGGCAACGGGCAAACCTCAGGGGGAGGCAACGGGCAAACCTCATGCGTGAGACATTTGCGTTTGTGTTGGAATGCGCCTAGTACCTACGCGCCGTAAGACTTCACACCATTCGTGATGCCACCCGATGCAAATAACGTGACAGGAGTGTTTCGCAAAATGGGTTGCCGGGAGCTGAACAGTTTAAATGTGTGAGACCCACCTCGAGAGTATGCCATTGAACGGGTTTTGCCGCGGATTTACCCACTCTCGTCGCAACGTTGCGGAGGCTGGAGCTTAAGCGTGGGGGGGGGGACTACTGCTGAAGCTTCCGTCAGACGCGGCTTGGCATGGCATGGCGTGGCCTGGCATGGCGGCTTGGCATTGGCATGGCTTGGCTCATCATTGGCTCTCGGATCTCTCCGGCCTCGGAGACGATTCCACACTATCGCTGCAATCGTCAGATCGCATCGTATGGCATCGACCTGGTACGCTCTGGCATTCCAGCTCGCTCCGCTGGTAATACAAATGTGTACACTTACTGGGCTGTCGAATGTGCATGGACCATTAGTGGGCTTGGAAACACAGCAGTTAGCACCAGAGGTTTTTTATTATTTCAGTGCAAGTTTCGCTCATTTGATGTGATGAACATACCAACAATATTTGCAAACAAACGGCCACCAGCACTTGCATTGCATACCATTCACGTAGTGTCACTCAACTATCAGCTGTGATTTATTTACCCACCGTGTTTTTCGCCAGAGCGGTGTTCGAGCAGCTCGATGCGTGATATGCGTGTTGTTGACGGTGACACGAAACACTGCGCGTGAACAACGATAGGATGAGCCAAGACCAGATGTAGGGCTCGTTCATGGGTTGGGGTTTGTTTGTCCAGTTGGAGATTATCCACTGACGTCTTGGTCGTGTCCGACCTGATTCACAATATGAGAGCCATAGAATAACAATAGTTATCCAGGCCGGAACCAGTTCGGCTATGCTGTTATGTCATCGCTTTCATTCTGGTGTTGTGTACACTGAGACTTGAAGCTCACCATCTTAGGACCAGCCTCTGCCTCAGCCCGCTTCGATTGAAGAGTTGCAGATCAACCATTAACATCCTACGCCTGTCACTCTGCACCGTTGTGACATACAAAACAATTACAAATTCATATTGTTAAAACACTGACAAAAATTACATAAAAAGGCATTCAAAATGGCCGACGCAAAAGACATGTTCGCATTCAAATCATTCAGTGCTGAATCGGCTGGATTTGGGGACACTCCGATTCGGCACCATCACGTGTGAGTCGAGCACCTGCCGAGGGAGTTGAATGCCACCGGCCCACCGCGCTCGGGACACGCCCCCGATCTGTGGCCAGCGGTGGACATCGTGCAGAACGGAGTCACTCCCGCTCCAGCACTGTTTCAGATCCGTATGTTGTCGAAACACGAGTAAACCATAACACATGGAATGCGTTTTCACAGCATCAACCGCAGCCGCTCAGTCTACCATTGTCCAACACAGAACACGTGGCGCTTTTATACGCTCAGGCGTGATGACTCCTGACAGGCAAACCACGGCTAACACCACATTGTCCTGCATGCAACCAGTGACTGGGGCTGCGCCGAGCAGGGGGAAGCCCGCCTTCTTACCATACGATCTCGCTCACACGACGCAGCGGCCAGCCCTACCGCGCTGATGGCGACGTCCCGCCCAGCGCCAGTACTGCCATCTGGCAGGCCACGGCCGCAACTAGCAACAGGCTGGGTCCCAGCGAGGCGGCGCCACTGTACCACGGGCAGTAGGGACACTGGTACGAGCCGCACACTTGGCAGATGTCGATCACATTCAGCTCGGTCGAGTTGAGGATCTGCATCTCGAATCGCTCGGGCGCGAAGTACTCGTACATGAAGGCGGTCCTGACGGCCGTGTAGTTGGCCACCAGGAAGCGGCGGAAAATCGTCCAGTTGTAGCACTGAGTGAAGTTGCTGTAAACCTGCCGTCAGAGGTGCCGGTTCAGCTGTTGATTCGGCAGCACGAGGGGCACTACAGCACCTCCGGTATGGAAGGCAGGATACGAAATATATGCGGTGATTCTTAAGTAGCCACCTGTCACATCTTCCACGCCTTTAACGACGGTGAGTTTTACAAAAAGAGGCTTCGTGACAAACCGAGAAGCTGCGCACTTAACAGCCGCTCGAAGCCTTCGTTTGGAAGCCTGCTTCACTGCCGAATCTGAGGTTGGACCGCACCTTATCGAAGAACCAGAAGATCTTATCTGGCGCCGTTTTCCCGTTCATCAGAGTGTTCATTGGTCTGCGCTTGAACGCGCGCACGTTGGCATTGGCCACCTGCTGATCCAGTCGGTACCCGCTGGGAACTCCACCTCCAAGATGGTGGCGCCGCTGACGGGCGACTCGTCCGTGTTCACCCATCTGCGGGCCAGGTTAAGCCGAGTGATGCCGGTCGAGCCTGGCTGGCCTTCGTCTCGAAGAGCCGAAGCACGAGGGCCACTGGTGTTATGTGTACTGATTATGAGGCAAGTTCATCAGTGATGAAAGTAGAGCATATGTCAACAAGCGTTCGCTGGCGAAAGCTGCATTCATTCCATGAGTCTTTGCAAAAGTGCTTGGCAGGGCTGACTAAACTGGCCACTGAAGCTAAACAAATTTCGGGTTGTTAGCAACAAACAATTTGGCCTGTAGTCCCACTCCTCAGAACTCATTTACCCAGACGAAAGGTCACCTTTTCTTCCGCCTGATCCTGACAACCGATCCCATCGCCTGGGAGGCGTCCTCCCACACGTCAACAGCAACGGCACCCACCGGAAGCATGCCTCCACGTGGATGATAGACTTGTTCCGCGCCTCCTGCAGGGCGTTCTCGCGCACCGTCAGGTCGAACGCCTTGACGGGCGGCGTGTCCTTGAGGTCCTCACGGTCGATGCCGAACGAGAGGTCCAGCTGGACCACGGCTTGGCCGGCGCCCTGGCCCACCACGTTGATGTGGCCCCAAACTTGCGGAAGCTGCGCGAGGAGTGGCCAGCGTAAGCGCATGCGTAGCAGATTCGAGAACCCCCGCTGCATCCGTGACCATTGCGATTCCAGGTGGTGCGCGTTTCATGACATAGCACGGCATAGCACGGACGAGTGCATATTTACAGCCCCTGGTTCGACCTTTGCTGTAAACGCACGATGCAGAATTTTCCGTTACGATGTAGGATTTACCGTCGTTGTGCCAACATAACCCTGACCACGTAGGCTTGGACATTGAGATTGAGGATAGCATCGCAACACCAAGAGACACAGCGGTACTCTGAGCTCTAAAACGTCAAGCCACAGCGGTCTCAAAATGTCATATGAGCAGGTGAGGCTAACGCCACATAAGCTAACGTAATAGAATAAGACAGTGCAAAGCAGCAATGCAATTGGAAACAAGAGAAACAAAACCCCTCATCGATATCCGCACCAACCAGAGTGCAATTTAGGCCATCAAGCCATGACGATCGCGTGGGTAAAGTCGATGTAAACTTAAGCGAAGTGGTGGACATTCCTCTGCCTCTGGACCCGATCGTCCCCGGCCTCCAGATCTTACTTCGACAGCCGGTATGACGGAGGTGGCGTTGTTGGTGATGCGGACCACCTCCTGGAAATTCCTCAGGCCGGAGGTCTCGATGTAGACTTGCATGTCGGTGATGTCACGCAGCCGCGCGCGGAAGGAGTACTCCGTGAGCGCCTGCATGGCCATGATGCTGTCCTGCGCGGGGAGGAGGCGCTCAGTGACGTCACGGGGCGCCCTGCCGACGCCTGGAGGCCGCGTGGGGCTGCGGCCCGCTGCAGTCTGCAGGGACTCGGAACCCAGTGTGGACTAGTTGCCTTATCAGTGTAGCTTTCTAGGCCGTTTCTCCGGTATATTTAGGTTACGCTGGAGACGCGGGGCTCCTCCAACCTTTCGCATCACTTCCCTTTACCCCACAATACGTACCATTCCAAATAAGCTAAAACTAAGCACGCATTCATGTGGCCAGGTACCGTGGCTGCCTTGATCTTGACCCGTCTTGCCTCGCGCCTGGCCCAGGCTCTCACTCGTGCGGAGGCAGCGCGAGTCTCGCCGGCCGCTACTCACCACGGTGGAGATCCAGGCGGCGTCGAACATGCGCATGGAGTTGAGCCATTTCACCATCTTCTCCTGGTCGATGCCGACGCCGTCTCGCAGCAGGTACACCAGCAGGCCGTACGACGTCGCCTCCACCGACTGCGCGTCCCACGGCTGTTCGTTCTTGGGCTCCACGTAGGGCCGCTGGTTGACGTCCTTGCTGACCGGGTTCGTCTCGAGCGGGTCGCGCGCCCAGTAGTACATGCCCTCGATCTCGCGGCGCGCCTCGCGCAGCTTCATGAACGCCACCTCGCGGTCGACGCTGTTGCTGACGGTCAGCGCGTAGGCCGTGATGGTGATCTCGTACGCGTCGGTCAGCACGTTCAGGCTGCGCTCCAGGTACTGCATGGCGCGGATCTTGGCGGTGGCGACTGCTGCCTTCGCCTCACCCTGCAGCTTCTCCTGCACCTCGTGCAGCGTGATGAGCACGTGGGCGGTGAGCGGCACGTAGCGTTTGCGGTTCGTCTCGCCGGGGATCTTGGAGCGCGGGTCCATCTTCTGGTCGAGCGGGAACTCGTACGCCTCGGTCTCGTAGAAGGAGCCGTCCTCGTTCTGGTACAGGGTCAGCCACTTGGCGGCCTCGGACAGGATGCGCGGCTCGACGTACAGGAAGTTTTCCCAGTCCTGGAACTGGGAGTAGTGCAGCTGCCGCACCGCCCACGCCGTCGCCCTGCCGAACACGGCGAAACCGCGTCAGACGCCTCCGTAAAGGCCACGCGGCATGGCGCGGAGGTGCAACCAGACCGTCATCTCTGCTCACGCTGTGATGCTGAGTGCGTGTGTACATAGGCTGCCGTCATCCACGCACTGCACAGCTGTAAAGGGATTCATGCGTGGTTTTCCCCTACCCACTAAAATCAAATTTGTGGACGTCTTGGTTAGATGGCGTATCCCTTATGGACACTTGTCTTGTTTGCAAGCTGCCGGCGGAAGAACCTTGTAAGTAAAAAGGAAGAAAGCAGAGAGCGAGAGTGAGAGCGAGAACGAGAACGAGAACGAGAACGAGAACGAGAACGAGAACGAGAACGAGAGAGAGAAAGAGAGAGGGAGCGGGAGAGGGAGAGTGGCGGAGGG